TTTCAATGCGCGAATCCGACGACATAGAAACGAGTCAAGCACAGAAAACTTGGGAGGCCTCAGGTCATCGTCAAGTTGCCGCTCCCACGCCTTCAAAGAGTCCGAGTCAAATCTTGGCGTCACCCAGTATATTATGAACGGGTCTCAGTGCTCGATCTGGCAGTCCAAACATTCGAGAGCGCCGAGGCACTCTTTCACGACACCTTGTAGCTTTTTCAGCTCGCTCGCGCACCCGTTCGTCAGTTTTTGTAACGAAGATAATAAGTCGAGCTGAGTGTCAATCAGAACGCATTGGTTTTCATAACGGTCCGTCATGACCTTCCACGCACGATCGAAACTGTCGGTGGCAACGGCAAAATGCTTGATGAGTTGTAACGCCTCATCAGTGACGCTCATTTTCAGGTAGTGGGTCTTCTTCTACGATCGGAATGCTGTGATTAGATATCACCATCGATGTGAAGAGGTCACGAAAGGATACCCATTCGGTCTCGAGCCCAGAGAAATTCGGCAAATCTAATCGCGGTAACGCAAAAAGGTGACTTACCTGCGACGTTGATTGTTTGCCGATTTCCGAAACTGTGGATGAGGAGCTCGAGACGCGTTTGAGAGCCTCGCGTAAAACGGCTTGACTCTCGATGACCGCCTCTTCACACTCTTATTGCAGGCCGTCTTGGAAGTATGGGTGTTTGGCGATCTCTTCTGATCAGTGCTCGTAGAGGGCCGCATGATTTACCTCAAACTTATCCCAGTTGCGAGAAAGAGCGTCCAAACGGGCTTGTACGTAGGAATCAGTGATGTTTGCCTCGCCCTTCTTCTTGCGGTTGACCGCGGTCTTGCAGATAGACTGGTACAGTTCATGTTGCCGATCGATGAGATTTTCGGCATTAAACATCGTGAACTGGATCGTTTCTTACACGCGCACTGAGACCGGGAACGTAAGCGTTGACCTCGTGGAAGGTCGAAGTAACGAACGAAACGAGTTTGGAAAACATTAACGGTCGCGCAAACTACCACGTGTCGTCCAACTAGACGAGAGAGAACGATAGAAAACACGACGCGGAGATAACAGCACACAGTTAATTGACGCAAATTTGGGTCGGAGTATTCACCACGAAAATCTAGTTCGAAGGACTAGATGTTTCGTTCGAATTGCGGAGGATCTCCGCGTACCAAACGGGGTGCCGGGAACGTCCCGATGGGGACGCGCATTAAGAGAAATAAAGCGCGTTTTGACCGCGGACGCGCGGTCTCCTTGGCGTAGACTTGTTAAGCCATCCGTTGTGGTGGCAAAGTTCTGTGTAGTTACAATCGCCCGCTGACAGGGGCCAGCGGCAAATCTGGCGAATGTCACTCAAGACTGTCTCGAACGACGATCCACTGTCGTACTCATCGCCAACGGTTCCAGCTAACCACGACTAAACGGACGCGACCCTTGCCATGGTCGTTGCACGGCAGGCAGAGCAAAGTTGCGGCCCGTCCAGATAATAATTGCATGAGCCCGTAGTTCTTCAACTCTCTCATTAGTTCATCGGTCATCCCGTTTCCTCGAATATAGTGTGTTGAAACTAAGGTTTCAAGGCGGGCAGTATGTTTGAACTTGTACATGGCCTAACAAATCTTTCCGGCTCGTCGTGCGAAGGACGTGTCTGTTTCTGTCGCGGTGTGGGGGGGGGGGGCGTCCGCGTTTCACCTGTCGCCGTGACCATGAAAGTCTAGCGGAAAACAATTTCTTTTCGCGTCAAGTTCATTTCGATCCCCCGAAATCAGCTCAGATCGCGCTTAACCAAAGTACCGTTCGTGTCGTTTCTCCGGTATCCTATCATCAGTACACGCGTCGCAAAACCCGTCGTTTCCGTGCCGTCGTTATCCCTTCCAATTCTGTGTATAGAAACCCGTCGTTTCTATCAGCGGTACTGTAACCGTTCCGATTACATAATTAAATAAGGTAGAGGGAGAGATATATGTGTATCTATATACATGTATATATAAATATATATGTAAGGAAAGTACATAGCACTTTCCTAACATCACTACAAACATCCCGCGTAATAGCGAGGGTCGGTAAGTCTGACATCTATGGGCAGAACAGAAAAGAAAGAATGACGAGTGATGAGTAGAGACACGTGGGAGGAACAGCAGTATTACCAAAGAGATCATAATTATAAGACATTGTACAAAAGAGTGAATAATAAACATTGAATGTTGTTTCCTTAGTCTACAGAGAAACAATTCGGTTTATTTCTTTACAACCATCCCTAAAAAGAAAGAACATTATGATGTTGCTCTGAGAATATATGAAAAAAAACGCGACCTCCAAGACACTTTCCTATGCAGCTCTTCTTTCCGAAAAAGTATTGACCATGAAAGAGTGGGGATCGACCTATTACGCCACATCGATCCTAACGAGGGAGGATCAGTTCAACAATATCAGTCGTCCTTTCCGAACGGTGCCCTTTGCATTCTACGAGCAAATAGAGTTCATCTTCGGAAAACTAAGTTTTAGTTTATTTAGCGATTACGTAGTGATTATTTAGTAGTGTCGCGTATGTCGTCGTTATAAATAGTGCAAATTAATTATTGTAAGTCTTATTAATTTTTGTAGGTTTTATTAAGTATTGTAGATTTTATTAATTATTGCAAGTTTTATTAAATATTGTAGATTTTATTCATTATTGCAGGTTTTATTAAATATTGTAGGTTTTATTAATTATATCGTGTTAAAAATCAGGATAAAAGTTAGTGTTAAATAGTTTTAAATTAATTATTTTGAGTGTTAGTTTTGTGTAACCTATAGAGTGTTAAACCCAACGGAGGAACAGCTCGCGGGTCTACTTAATCGCGCAGTGTGTGAACATTTTTCGCGGTCGGGACAATCGCGCAGTGTGTATGGACATTTTTCGCGGACGGGACAATGGCTCAGTGTGTGTGGACATTTTTCGCGGACTTCTGTGGTGTACGTGCGTGTGCGGATTAATTTCATGGATACTCGTGGACAGGACAATTGTGATACGTGACAACTAGAGGGGGCATTAACCCTCTCTACTCGATAATATTCGTAAGAAGATATTTACATTTCTTGCGAATTTTATCGAGTAATCAGAGTTAATGCGATACAAATGGATTCGACTCAAATACCGCGGGCACAAGTTATCGACATCTTCTACGAGGTAAGTAAACAGCTGTTCTACCGACTGTTCCTGCACGTCGTTGAGTCTTTAAAGTGACTGTACGCCCCTGTTGAGCCGTGATCCGCTGACACTCCGTGCGCGCGGATTGCCATGATTTCGGTCAATTTTTAAACTCTTATAACTAGCAAACGAAGCATTTTTCGCAATTTCGTTATTCTTGATTTTCGTCTTATTTTGCCTCAAAGAATCACCCCTTAAATTTTTTCCCACTAGTTGTCGAACACCCTGTATATCTATGGAGCCAGCAGCCGCGATTCCCACCACCGCAAGGATCTACGGTGCTCGCGAGCCACGCCATGAATAAGAATGCGTGCGCATGGATCCCCACCAAGTGCTGATCGAAGGAGGTCGATGCGAGCCCGTCGATCAGCACTCTGCGCTGGGAAGCGAACTGATACACACGCGATCTTAAAGAGGATCCGTTCGGCGAAACACGGTACCTATTCGAGAGGTTAAACCAACCTGGTAAGATCGTCAAACCGCCTTTCTTACCCTCGATACGTACGCGCCTCAAACCGCGCCTTGGCACAGCCACGATACGGAATTTGGAAATTTATTCATCGTTTTAAGTATCAGTCGTGAACCACGCAGCAGTCATTGGAACGTTGTATTGTACATAGCCGTAAAATAGTAGAGAGGTACGATTTCATTCTTAAAGTATTTGTCTCGGTCTAACGATATTTGTTTTTCGGCTCTGTACAACCGTGTGTAGACAAGGTACGTTGAGTGCGTGTTGATTCACGTGTCCTTGTCATCGTACCGTATAATCGTCAATTACATTCACTGGTTGCTATGAAATTTGACTATCTCCGCGTCGTATTCGAACCGCGATAAACGATCGGATTCCTGCATGGTCACAGTCTTTCTCCCGACACCGGAGATCACTCGAAATCCACGTATCGTGCCGACGGGTGAACTCTTGGGTGTTTCAGTCTGACTGGGGCTTTATGCGCGTCTCCACACACGCATTTTCTCCGAATCTCTCGGCCATATGCGTGAGTGATGCGACAGGTCCACAATCGTACGCGTTCGGGAACATGAAATCTAGAGCACTCGCGACTGACGACAAGGATACGCCTCCGAGAGAACATTGGCACAACGCGGCATATTGTTACCGAGCGATAAGGCATAACGAACCGTCAAATCAATCTACGCAAAAAATTTCGCAATTCGATCTGAACTCTAACCTCAATCGCGGGCACAGCAACAATTATTTGTATATATCATTTTCAACAGAATATACGTGAAACTTTGTTACTCTCAAAACGTTTCCAACTTTCTTCTTGTACCAACCAGATCTCTCCGCTGTCCAGTGCCTGGAGGCACGAACCAATCTCAACAGGTCACGTGACAAGACCTAGGAGTTCGTAACCGACCCCGCGGCTAGTCGGTTATAACAAAATAGAACCTCGCATAAAAGAACGGTTACAGTACACGCGTCGCGAAACCCGTCGTTTCCGTGCCGTCGTGATCCTTTACAATTCTGTGTATCCAGCAAAACTGAGCAGGTCTTGAAATCCCTAAATACTTTATCTGCGTCTCTACCCAGTTTCTACCTCTCGTAGTTTCCCTAAGATGCCGGATTTACGACCCGCACGTCCGCAGTCAAAACGCGCTTCATTTCTCCCAGTGCGCGTCCCCATCGGGACGGTCCGGACACCCCGTTCGGTACGCGGCGATCCTCCGCGATTCAAACGAAACAATATTAATATTAGAACATCTTGAGCCGACATACCATGGAAGTCACTTAACGCTTATTCTAAGATTTCCTTTTATTCTAAGAATTTTATATATCTTACGAATTACACGTACCCCTTGTTTGCTCATCTCATGGTTGAGGAAAACAGTATAAAGTCTTTCCTGCTGCCTCAATTCCCCCCAATTGTCTTCTTCCGAGGTTCCCCTGTCTTCTCTTGTTGATAGCCACAGTCTTAATCTAATTCTACCCTGAATAGTGCTTCGTTGCGTTCTGGCTTCCAGTTTGTACCATCGATCCAGTCCGGTGCTTGGAATCTCCTGGTAACAGGTCACCGATCCTTCGTATTGTACTAGTGTATATTACAATGTCAAACTGACATTAAGACTAAAACACAGAATTTCCCTTTTTAATCGTGTTCTTGTCGAGTATCTTTCGTTTCCTCTCACTTCTCCGCCATCATGTTTATTCTTCTACTTTGATAACACAGAAACACGTCGCCGGGTTAATGAAATGATCAGAAATCAGCAATCAAAAATAATTAGAAAATCATATTCTCTGCCAACTTATGTGAACCTAGCTACGCGATTATATAGAACAGGCCTGTCCAACTTGTGGCCCGCGGGCCAAACTCGATAATCGCCCCTACCGGCTTGCTCTTTCAGCCGAGGGGAATGACCCCCCTCCATATTCACAAGAAGCCCGACGATATAGAGGCAAGAAAGCGTGTGTACATGCTCTGACTGTCCCCACTTCCGACGCTCCAGAAATTCCTACCCGCACGTACCACTTGCCCCACGATCGCATCGCAGCGCAAGCGAGTAGTGGGGAATGGACTGAGTGATGGTGGGGACCGCGTCGTCTGGCGAAATGACTCGCGGGTCACATGTTGGACAGGCCTGATGTAGAAGGATAAAAGCACATAAACGAAATCTCTTATTGACATTCTACGTTTTAAATTGTGTAATCAATAAAATACTAACCTCAATCGAAATTGAAGCTTGAACAATATAGCCAAAGTATTAATACCGGAGGGACTATTTTAATATTAATTCCGTTGAAGAGTTGTACAATAGCTGCCACGATATAGCAAGATCGCAAATTAGAGCATCAATCAGTAATGCATCAGTACTTACAAGGAAGGGAACCCAGCTGTCCGACTTCGATTTCAACGGGGTTTTGTAGCATGATAATATACATGTTCCTAATGATGAGAGGTCCCCAGGTGTATTGCTGACTTTTTAATGAGAAAGAAGTCTCAAGCCAATGATATTTGTTTCCGCCGCATATGGACATTAGTTTTTGAAATATTTAATGTTCAGTGCCGAGTAGCCTTCGAACACTCATCGAGGATTTACTGTATTACAGGTAGATACTCGATAATTTTAAAGATATCTTAATCCATCAAAGTTACGTAACTTTAAGGGGAGAGACCCCTTCGGGGCCAATTCCGAATCGATTGAAAAGCAGATGTAAACAAATGAGTGCTAGCGAAAATAAATAATCAATAACTGGGACGGCTTGATGATACATCTAACGGCAGTACCTACAATTACATTTTTTTCCTCTTACCATCAAGTTGTATTTGAGTATTCTGCTACCCGAAGGCATTGTTGCCGGACCGTATAGAGAGTCTTCTTACGCTGTTGCCACATATCCCCCATTACAAATCTGCCCATCAGGAGAACGATGGAATAAGTACGGCTCGAGGCGAGATTTTGATTCTCGCCAAACGTAGGAAAAGAATGGCGCGAGCAAGAGAGATTCGAGAATGAAACAATACTTACGTACTAATGTTCACAACCATAAACCTTTTCTATTCGTACTTGCAATGATGCTTATTTTTTTAATCGATGGAATTACATACGAAATACTTAAAATGGTATTCCCGAGAAACAAATTGTAAAAAGGACAATATATATTCCGGGGATTCCATATACAAAAGACATGGCATACTATACAAATCTGCTGTTTGAAATGATATTTATTTATCTTTTATTGACATAATGGATGCGAGTGTTATATGTAGGGTTGAATCGATACCGCCAAGGTATCGATACTTACTCGGTATCGAAACAAAAGTATCGATACCTACTTGTATCGAATTATATTTTCCTAACCATGATACCCAACACGCAAGTTGTTTATACCTAGAGTGAAAATAAAATACAATACTGTACTTTAAATATTTATTTAAATTTTTAATAAAATAAAGAAACATATGTAAAAACTACCTATATGTATACAATATATGTAATATATGATAAAAGGTATACACAATAAATAAATATCTATGTAGATATTGATTATATTATCAGATATCATTTGTACAAGCATACTTAGTTTCAGAGATATTCTGAAAATATCCAACTTTGGGCATAGGATCTGCGACGCAAGGCGGCCCCAAAAATATCTAGACAAACCAAACCAATCCATCTTTCTAAGTACATTGCAAAAATAAACCTAGTAAAATATAGAATATATAAGAAGACAATGATGTTGTACTTAGAAAAATGGGAAAGCCCCTTATTTTTCTAAAAACAGAGGAATAAATAAAGATTTATCAGTAACATAAATAATTCATTTATTAATGATAAAATTAAATTAAATATTTAATAGAAGCTGAAACGGAAAACGCAATCTTTGACTTCGCAAGTGATTTAAATTTTCTAAAGTTAAGTAGTTAAATATTTCATTGGGGAGGTAGCATGTATATTGGACAAGGTTATGTCAAACATAGCATAGAATACATAAATGATAAATGGGGATGCTGTAGGAAACATTGCAGAACAACTTGTTCTATATTTGAGAATACCATTTTTAGATGCTCACACCTATGTAACCATATATACCTGTATTATTATAATATTGAAAATATTTAAATACATATTGCTTAATTATTAATATAATCAACATTCTTTTCTGTTGAAAGTAATTACAATATCAAATGTTAATGGGTGGATACTGACTCCATTCGATACGAGTACTTTTTTCGATACCTACTTGGTATCGCAACCGTACGTATCGATACCAAAAGTACTCGGTATCGAAACAAAAGTATCGAGTAATGTACTCGTATTTACTTGTATCAATTCATCCCTAGTTATATGCGTACAAATGCAGTAGACTTTAACTTTAATGCCACTGAGAATAATGCCACATGAGTCACTTTTCCTTCACACGTACTTTCGCTCTCCCACCATGTTATGTATGCCGGTGCACCAGCACGATGCAGCTTTTGTGCAATCGCCGAGGCCGACGTCATGGGACAGAACTTAGCATGGAGGGGCTCGAAATTTAAGACCGTTTTACTCTCCTACAACCCCGAAAGAGGCATTAAATTTAGAGTCTACTATACATATCTTTCGTAAAAAGGACGCAAAAGGAACATTGAATGAACAAATTTATTCGATGCGAATTTATTCAACGAATAAAGATACATTTTTAGTCGAGGAACGTTTCATGCGTAGCGTCGAATAAAATTTTCATCTTTTATCTGTATCTTTATTTGAAGGCTTTGAATAGAACTTTAAATAGCTTCTGCCAGCTTGAAGAATAGTCCAGTCGAATTAAACTTTGGACAAAAAATAATTCTAATTAGCTACCTTTTTGTGTAAAATAGTTCGTAAGGTCATTAGAAATGAAATGTATCTGTTTGAAACTCGTGAAATGTTGTGGGGAACATTGTTGAATAAATTCGAAAGTGTGTGAAAAACATGTTTTTAGAGAGAAAAGGTTAAAATATAATATCGTAGGTATTTTTAATGCCTACATAATGAGATATCGTACGTAAAAATCGATGTACATGTTCAGTTGAAAAAGAATTAAAACTGTTAAAATTAGTTCTTTGTTCAATTGTTTAATATTTGGAGAGATTTGAACATAGAGCTTCGAAATTTGAGGAGAATATGGCCTCCAATATAATGAAACGGTTTTCCCAAAAGCCATTAATTTATCCCAAATGCGTCTCCGGAAAAGTTAACTTGGTAATTATTTGGAATAGGTCCATCTTAACTGATTTCAATGACAGTGAAATATGTTGTCAAGGTCATTGTTCTGAACAACTTCCCCCTATACATGTTACCGCCGCTCGACCTTAGTTTCGGAAATACTCAGGAAAATATGTTTCAATTTACATGATATGTTTTCCGATTTCTATTTATTAATTAATTACTATACCACATGCCACCAAACACAAGACACACACACGATGTGCTCTGGGGCCCGACGAGGAAACTTCTTGCCTGTTTTTGGAGATGTTAATAACTGAACTTGTGTTTGGTGAGTGGATAACATTGGATCGTATGTCTTTAACCAACTCTGATCAATACATACTACCAGTCATGAATTTAAGTTTAACAAACGTTTTTGTGAATATCCGAAAAACAGATAGAAACTCTTCTATTGTTTTGGGGGAGCGACATAGTCAGTCAACAAAGTCAAGGTTAAGGTCATACACGAGGTTGCCCTTTTTCTACATAATTGCCCATAGAGAACAAAATACAATATACAGTATCGAATATACTTTTGCGAGTATCTCAGAAACGAAATCCCAGCGACGGTAACCTGTATAGGGAAAAGTTATTCGGAATGACGACCTTGACAACATATTTAAAGGTCCAAATATTTACCGTTAATTTTTCCATCTTTGTCAAGTCGGACAGCAAGCAGCGTGGTTATTTTTTTATTCTTTAAGAGTTATACTATCATATAGACTTCAAATGAAATGAATTTTTAAAATTGAACCACCTAAAACTAACTCCAAAAAATAGGTTCCCTGTTTTCTTCTAAACAATTTAAATAACATTTTCATTCTTGATTGCATTGAATTGCCGTATGGACCATTCGACAACAGCTATTTGTCTACAAATTTTAAAACAAAATATTAGGAGTCGCGATAATTTATTTTTCTTTAAAAAATCACTGTAACGTCAATTGTTAACATTAAGAGTTGAAATTTAGACGAAGTCTGGGGGAGTAGTTAAATTATCTGTTCCTTACTTTTCGAATTAATGCATTCAGTGGCTTCTGTTATAAAGATCCCAAAGTTCCGGTATGCAAACGGACAACACGCGGCAAAAGCGGAGTGGGGAGAGCCCGTCACGCGACGAGCTCGTGCTACCCGAAATTGATCTCCCTGGTTTAACTGGCGGATCCGGAAGAAGTCAGGTTTTCTGTGCAACAAATTAACGTAGAGTGATGATTTTTTTTTAATTTGGGGTACCTCGACGAGATATGAACAAATAGTGTGACCAATTATGTAAAAAATTAGTTAAAATCCGAAATGTTTACTTCTTTGAATTTTTATGTTTTAAATTGA